GAACAATTGTTTTCTGGTCTTTACTTCATATTTTGTATATGTTTGATTGTGTATATATTTTTACATATTAGCCAATATGTTCTATTTGCATTAGACCTCTGAGGAAGGCCCGTGAAGGCCGAAACGCGTTAGGTCTATTTCATCAGCCTTTGTATTTTTATATTTGTATATGAGGTATGAATGGGCCCTTATTTGTTATTTTTGTATGTTCCATAATTAGATTTTTAGAGTTGGCCCTTTTCCATTCTTGACTAACCTTTTTAGGTTCTGAATTCTAGGTTTTAGGTTCAGTTTTTTTTCCCTTTTCCCTTTTTTGTCCGTACTACCTGGCATTTTTGGCCACTGTGTGACACAGAGTGTTGGACTGGATGGGCCATTGGCCTGATCCAGCAATGGCCTGTCTTATGTTCTTATATGGAGCTGAGGTCCATCAGTGGCTATTAGCCACAAGGTATAGATAGGAACTCTCAGTCTGGGGCAAGAGATGCTCTGTCTTCTTGGTGCTTGGGGGGGGCAACAGCGGGAGGGCTCCTAGTCTCCTGGCCCCACTGCTGGACCTCCTGAGGGTATTTTTGGCCACTGTGTGTTGGACTGGATGGGCCATTGGCCTGATCCAACATGGCTTCTCTTTTGTTTTTATGTCTGGGGCAAGGGATGCTCTGTATTCTTGGTGCTTGGGGGGGGCACAGTGGGAGGGCTTCTAGTGTCCTGGCCCCACTGCTGGACCTCCTGATGGCACCTGGTATTTTTGGCCACTGTGACTGTGGACCTCTCATGGCCCCTGGTATTTCTGGCCACTGTGTGACAAGAGTGTTGGACTGGATGGGCCATTGGCCTGATCCAACATGGGCTTCTCCTATGTTCTTATGTACCGATCATCACATGCTCTGTGAACTGAACCCTCTAAACCCGTTCCGCTTGCTTCCAGCTGTGGACCGAAAGTGGAGCCCGACGGCCCTTTGCGTTGACCCACCACGATCATCCTTGGCCCACACTCGTGTCTACCTACCCCACAAAGTTCTCCGTGCCGAAGGCAACGGCCAGAAGACCGGCGAACACAAAGAGGGCCCTCATCTTCTCCGGAGCCGGATGCGTCCTGAGAAAGAGGGACCTCCCTCTTATATACCTTATATACCATCCTCGGCTGCGGCAGCGTTGGCACAGCCTGGCAGTGCCCGGTCTTCAGCCTCGGCCAGCTGTCCTCCTTCCCAGGGCCCCGTCAGAAAAGAGTTGGCACCTCCGTCCCTTTTGCTGATTGATGAAGTGGGGAAGCCGCCACCTGCCTCGGGTCGGGGAGAGGCGGAATGTTCGCTATCGGCTGCGCGACGCGAAAAGGGCGATTGGGCCATCCGCGCCGCACAGCTGTGAGATAAACGGGCACATAACTGAGCCAAGGGTCACGGGGCTTCTGTAGGGTTGCCAGCTCGGGATTGGGAAATACGTGGAGATCTGGCAGATGGAAACTAGGGAGGGTGTGGTTTGGGGAAGGGAGGGGCCCTAATCATCAGAGTTGGGAAATTCCTGGAGATCTGTGGGTGGGACGTTGCGGAGACGGGGTTCGGTGGACGGAGGCACCTCATCAGAGTATGATTCCACAGAGTCCGCACCTCCAAAGCAGCCGCTGCCATGACCTTGGGTCGGTCGTAAGTTCTCTCAGAGCTGTTCTCTCAAGGGCAGTCCTCGAAAGAGCTCTCTCTCAGCCCCACCTGCCTCACTCCTCCACATGCAGCTGCTGGAGTGACTTTGGGTCAGGCACAAGTTCTCTCAGAGCTGTTCTCTCAAGGGCAGTCCTCGAAAGAGCTCTCTCTCAGCCCCACCTGCCTCACTCCTCCACATGCAGCTGCTGGAGTGACTTTGGGTCAGGCACAAGTTCTCTCTGAGCTGTTCTCTCAAGGGCAGTTCTCGAAAGAGCTCTCTCAGCCCCGCCTACCTCGCAGGGTGTCTGTTGTGGGGAGGGGAAGGGATTGTAAGTAGCTCTGAGACTCCTTCGGGTAGTGGAGGGCGGGGTATAAATCCAATCTCCTCCTCCTCCTCCTCCTCCACACCAAGTGATCTCTGTAGCGTGGCGATCTCTTGCAATCCGGGAGATCTCCAGGCCCCACCTGGAGCTTGGCAACCTAGGGTGTTGGCAGCAGAACATGTTGGTTTCAGTGCAATGGTTTGGCCCAGGCTGAAAATGCGAGTCATCCCCATGCTCAGAGCACCTTTCCAGCACCAAGGGGTAACCGTAAGAAGTCCCCACCTGTCTGTGATTAGACGAAGGGCTTCCTGGTCAGCGGTCACGAGTCCCAGGAAAAAATGTCACCTGTCACATTTCTCACACGAGCATATCAGACGTTGCAGCCTTCATGCTCACCCCATGTCACCTTTCCAGTACGGTCTCAGAGGAAGGGGCTTGAGCTGGATTCTCGTGCCCTGGTTACATGCCCAGTTCTGCACATTTCCTCCGGGCGTATATGCATCTCAGTCATGAAAGCTATTTCCACAAATGTATTTATCTATTTGATTTATTGATATGCGAATTATTCCCCAATGGGAACCGAAAATGGCTCACGTCATTCTCCTTTCTTTGATTTGATCTTCACCACAACCTTAGCTGCCAGAGGATGGAGTGATGGTCACAGGAATAAACATCTGAAAAGTTGTGTTTTTTTATAGATTCATGGGGGAGATGTCTATCAGTGGCTACTAGTCATCATGGGGACTAAAGGGAGCCTCCGTGTTCAGAGGCAGTCTACCTCTGAATCTCAGAGCAAGGAGGCAACATCACGAGAAGGCCTTGGCGTCTCTGCCCTGTTGTTGGCCCTCCAGAGGAACTGGCTGGCCCCTGTGTGAGACAGAATACTGGACTAGATGGACCCTCACTGGTCTGATCCAGCAGGGCTCTTCTGAGGTTCTTATGAAGGCCTCGGCCTCTCTGCCCTGTTGCTGGCCCTCCAGAGGAACTGGCTGGCCCCTGTGTGAGACAGAATACTGGACTAGATGGACCCTCACTGGTCTGATCCAGCAGGGCTCTTCTGAGGTTCTTATGAAGGCCTCGGCCTCTCTGCCCTGTTGCTGGCCCTCCAGAGGAACTGGCTGGCCCCTGTGTGAGACAGAATACTGGACTAGATGGACCCTCACTGGTCTGATCCAGCAGGGCTCTTCTGAGGTTCTTATGAAGGCCTCGGCCTCTCTGCCCTGTTGCTGGCCCTCCAGAGGAACTGGCTGGCCCCTGTGTGAGACAGAATACTGGACTAGATGGACCCTCACTGGTCTGATCCAGCAGGGCTCTTCTGAGGTTCTTATGAAGGCCTCGGCCTCTCTGCCCTGTTGCTGGCCCTCCAGAGGAACTGGCTGGCCCCTGTGTGAGACAGAATACTGGACTAGATGGACCCTCACTGGTCTGATCCAGCAGGGCTCTTCTGAGGTTCTTATGAAGGCCTCGGCCTCTCTGCCCTGTTGCTGGCCCTCCAGAGGAACTGGCTGGCCCCTGTGTGAGACAGAATACTGGACTAGATGGACCCTCACTGGTCTGATCCAGCAGGGCTCTTCTGAGGTTCTTATGAAGGCCTCGGCCTCTCTGCCCTGTTGCTGGCCCTCCAGAGGAACTGGCTGGCCCCTGTGTGAGACAGAATACTGGACTAGATGGACCCTCACTGGTCTGATCCAGCAGGGCTCTTCTGAGGTTCTTATGAAGGCCTCGGCCTCTCTGCCCTGTTGCTGGCCCTCCAGAGGAACTGGCTGGCCCCTGTGTGAGACAGAATACTGGACTAGATGGACCCTCACTGGTCTGATCCAGCAGGGCTCTTCTGAGGTTCTTATGAAGGCCTCGGCCTCTCTGCCCTGTTGCTGGCCCTCCAGAGGAACTGGCTGGCCCCTGTGTGAGACAGAATACTGGACTAGATGGACCCTCACTGGTCTGATCCAGCAGGGCTCTTCTGAGGTTCTTATGAAGGCCTCGGCCTCTCTGCCCTGTTGCTGGCCCTCCAGAGGAACTGGCTGGCCCCTGTGTGAGACAGAATACTGGACTAGATGGACCCTCACTGGTCTGATCCAGCAGGGCTCTTCTGAGGTTCTTATGAAGGCCTCGGCCTCTCTGCCCTGTTGCTGGCCCTCCAGAGGAACTGGCTGGCCCCTGTGTGAGACAGAATACTGGACTAGATGGACCCTCACTGGTCTGATCCAGCAGGGCTCTTCTGAGGTTCTTATGAAGGCCTCGGCCTCTCTGCCCTGTTGCTGGCCCTCCAGAGGAACTGGCTGGCCCCTGTGTGAGACAGGATGCTGGACTAGATGGACCGCTGGTCTGATCCAACACGGTTCTTCCTATGTTCTGGTGTTCTTGACCTTGTGAGGTGAGTTAGGCTGAGAGAGTGTGACTGGCTGAAGGCCTCCTAGTGAGCTTCTATGGCATGAGTGGGTATTCGAACCTGGGTCCCCCAGGTACTAGTCCGACATTCTTAAGTGCAGCCCCACAGGTCAGTAAATCAGTCCTCAACGGCGGTGACCGGTGGTGAGTCCTGTCAGTATGGCGTTGATCCGTGTGTGTGCCACCAAGAAAGACTACTCAGCACAGGCACCTGTATGAATTAGAGGCTGTGTGGTGTAGCGGTGAGAGGGTTGGACTAAAACTGAGATCCGGGTTCGAACCCTTCTTCTGCCGCAGCACTCCTTGAAATTTATTCTGCCGTAGAAACTAGATGAGACGATTCTGGGAATCCCAACCTGACTCTCGTGACAACAGACTCCTGTTGTGCTCTCGGGAACTCATTCCCCAAGCGTGCAGGGCCCCGATTCAGATTGGGACGGAAGCACGGGAGGAGGAGGAGGAGAACAGTGTGGGTGTGGAACAGCGGTCACTGCGGGTGTGGAGGGGGAGGTATTTGTGAATTTCCTGCATTGTGCAGGGGGTTGGACTAGATGACCCTGGAGGTCCCTTCCAGCTCTATGATAGAAGAAGAGGAGGAGGAGGAGGAGGACCACCACATATATCAGTAATTGATGAAGGTAATATTTACCTTTTGGTATATAGGATATGGTTTTGTTTATTAAGAACATAAGAGACGCCAATGTTGGATCAGGCCAAAGGCCCATCCAGTCCATCACTCTGTGTTTCACAGTGGCCAGAAATACCAGGTGCCCTCAGGAGGTCCACCAATGGGGCCAGGACACTAGGAGCCCTCCCACTGTTGACCCCCCCCCCCTAGCACCAAGAATACAGAGCATCCCTTGCCCCAGACATAAGAACATAAGAGACGCCCGTGTTGGATCAGGCCAATGGCCCATCCGGTCCAACACTCTGTGTCACACAGTGGCCAGAAATACCAGTGCCATCAGGAGGTCCAGCAGTGGGGCCAGGACATTAGAAGCCCTCCCACTGTTGACCCCCCCCAAGCACCAAGAAGACAGAGCATCCCTTGCCCCAGAGCCCCTAGCTATACCTTGTGGCTAATAGCCACTGATGGACCTCTGCTCCATATGCTTATCTAATTCCCTTTTGAAGCCGTCCATGCTTGTAGCTGCCACCACTTCCTGTGGCAGTGAATTCCATGTGTTAATCACTCTTTGGGTGAAGAAGTACTTCCTTTTATCCGTTCTAACCCGACCGCTCAGCAATTTCATGGAGTGCCCACGAGTTCTTGTATTGTGAGAAAGGGAGAAAAGTACCTCTTTCTCTACCTGTTCTTTCCCATGCATAATCTTGTAAACCTCAATCATGTCACCCCTCAGTCGTCTTTTCTCCAAGCTAAAGAGCCCTAAGCGCTTTAACCTTTCCTCATAGGGAAAGTGTTCCAACCCTTTTATCATTCGAGTTATTATTACTATGATAATAATGGTTTGGATTTTAGGTACAAGTCTAGTCGTTTGAATTCTAAAGAAGAACCCTCGAAACGAAGATCAAAATCTGGAGTCTTCATCCAACTACTTATGAACTTACGTATGCTCTGTATGGACTTGCACATTTTATGATGTAATCTTGCTTTACTGATATATGTGGTCCCTTGTTGCTGTTATTAGTTTTGCTTTTGTTAAAATATAAATTTCCTCTGCATGACCTTTGTGCACTCCATGGTCTGCGTTATTTATACAGTGCT